TTCAAAATGTGGGACCAGACCCTCAGCTGATGTAAACTGGCATACCTCTATTGAAGTCAGTGGACCTACGCTGATTTACACCAGCTGGGGATCTGGCCTGTGACCTCTTTTTGTGTGTGTAGAAATGGAAGCTTATGTGAGGTCCCTTCAGAAAAAGGCCCTTAATATGAAACAAAGTGTTCTTGCATTCTGCTTACCGTGAGGGTGGAAAGGAAGGGTACAGAATGGGGGAGAGGAAATGGGAATGTATTAGAATTAATCCAAGTACCAGTCATCTAAACTTGGTAGGGATGGTGTTTATTGAAATTTAAGGAAGTTAAAGAAATGTTCTTCTGCTTTTACACAGATGTTCCTGTCACTTCCACTCCAGTCACTGCATTCTACCATGGCTGCATGACTGTGAAGATGAATAATAAGGCACTGGACTTAGATGAGGCTTTTTACAAGCACAGTGACATCACATCACATTCTTGTCCTCCAACTGAGACTGGTCAATAGGTACCACTGCGATGTAAAAGTTTTATATTAAAAAACTTTCCATGCTTTTTTTAAGATATAAATTATTCAGACTTCCCGCACTATGTGTATAGTTTCTCTCCAACACTGAAGTTATGTAGGCGCTACTGATCCTCACGAGTCAAATTGATTATTGAAATATTTCTTTGCTTTGAGGTTTAGAGTTTGTAATATATTTGTAAATAGTTCAGAAGACTAAGATTAATCATCCAAAACTGAAGATGATACCTAAAGTGAATGTTAAGACTGTAAAAAGACTGATGGATAGCTGTAATGCAGAAAACCTGGTAATATGTCAGTGTGAACTGGAAGAAAAATAATATTGCTGTATTACTTTTATTACCAAGCATTGCTTTCTGATTTACAAAATATGAAAATAAAATATTTACATAAAACTTCTTAACTGCACTGAGATTGTCTCTTGGGGCTATGATTTCAGACTGTGGATGATTTGCAGAGCCGATGACATTTTATTAATATTTCAGTGACTAGTGTGTTCATTGGCCTCTGAAAAACTGTAAGTGGGCTCTAGACTAGCGAGCAAGCTCATTTTTAGGTGGCGGGGGAGATGTGTGGGTGTGGTTTTTAGGATTTGTTTTGTAACATGCTCTCTCCAGAGATAACAGGCTCAGTCACAACCTTTAGAAAAAGCTCTACATCAATGGAGAACTTGAAAGTGAGAGGAAAAATTGGGTCAGCAGGAAACAATTAAAAGGAAAGCCTAGCTCAGGTAGAAGCCAAAGTGTCTTATGTCAGTAATCAGTGAAGCAAGTGATGAAAGATATATCAAGAACAGGGAATATCACGCAGTGATGTAACTTTTGCTACTTAATTTTTAGGCTGGCTCACTTACCATGAGCCTATAGGAGCACTGAGGCTTTGTGATTAAGTGTGAACTACCCAGGCTGAATAGCGGTGTGGCTGAGAATGTGTATGGGCTTATTCACCAGAGTGTTGAGTGCCAACAGAACAAAGTGTGTGAATTTCCATGCTTACCAGTAAGGGCTCTTCAGGATAGACACGGTAGGCTTTGCCAACACGGTTTTAGGCAGATCAGACTATCTTTCTCACTGCTGCACACTGGCTCTGTGCAAATTTTAGTGTCCGTTTTGCCTACTCACTTTCAGCTATTGCTAGTCTCCAGAGAGGTTACTAGCATGGGGACAGCTCCTGCAAGGTGCTGAGCATCTCTTGAGATGATGTCATCCAGGGGATTTTAGGATGATTGGAATTTCTCCAGAGACACTTGAAAGCATGCAGCACTTGGCCCATATTTTGCATCAAATTAGAGTAACAAATTGAGAGTGATTAATATCTTGTTATGGTTAGAATTCAAACATTTTATGGATAAGGATATCTTGGAGTACAGCTAGAATTTCATGCATAGTGCAAATAACACTGGGTATGCCAGTATTTTGATATGAGATTTTCTTTTTGTTCAAGGAATTTTTTTTAATAAACTCTAGATTCATTAGTTGACAAATTATTTTACAAATAGAGTCAGAAAAATGACTTCTGGGGCTTGCAAGGGTCAGTATGGCACAGATCCAAGTTTACTAATATTTTTATAGATATTCTGTAGCACTTATATACAGTGTTTTACCTGGTCAAAGCTAGAGAGAGAGTCAACAGATTAACCTAATAACCTCCAACTTTGCCCACAGTTGTAGTCCAAGTATCCAGATAGAACTTTCCCCAGAAAAGGATGGGCAACCAGATAAAGTATCCCATGGGGAAAAAAATCCTTACTGCTAAATGTGTTTGGAAGAGGGCTATGGCAACTGTACTGTATATAGCCACTAGATAATGCAACATCAAGACTGACTGGTTCTCTGAGCCAGACGGTCAAGGGTGATGCAGCAAGACTGAAGAGGTCAGGTCTGCTGCTTCAGAGTCAGGCATCAAGCCTTTTGTGCTTTAAAGAAGGCCAAATAGCAGAAGTCCATGCATATTCAAAGGGGACCAGATGAAAGTTCTGAAGGATATTTATTCACTAAAAGTAAATGAAAAAGGAGACAGGCTTACAGGAGAAAGGTGAATAGGTCATGTATACCAGTAATAATTTAATTTGTCTTACCTTTTGAGGAATGGGGGGAGGGAAATCCAAATACTCCGGATGCTGCTTCTGTTAGGAGATGATGATGGATCAACTGGTGACATGATTAGGACCTAGGAAAGGTTTTATTCAGGTTTCTCATTTTCAGCCTTACTGGGGAATGCTACAGGTATCATAGCCTATGGTGATTCTCTATTGTATTGTTTTTCTGGTCATTTCAGGTCTTTTCCTACATCAATATCCCATCCTTGCAACTTGAAGTAGCTCTAAAGAAAACAGCACACGCTTGGAAGACATCTGACACTTCTTACTCATTGGAGGAACAAAACCCAGTTTAAGCACTGTTCTTTTCAAAGAGCACCTGCTAGCAAAATAGTTTCACCTCTAGCATTTGTGTTATTCCTGCAGTACTTCCCAAACAAATAGCTGTGTGGCATATGTGAGTCACAAATCTGTGTAACCTTTGTTAATGCCAATGGTTATATTTATAGTGCCAGAAATATCTTGGATACTGGAAATAAGAATTTTGTGGTATGAGGTGGTGCTTTAATTCCACATTCGATGATATGTGAAAGGGACTGTAACAGCGTACTGTGCTTAAAAAAGTGAATTGAAATAATTGACATACATGGGAAATACATCATTTTGATGCAAAAATTGCTCCAATTATTTGTGTGTGTAAAGACTTTATACACCTATTTTGTGTGGACAAAACGTTATGATTTACAGTATAAAAATATGGAGAATATAGGAATGTGTATTATTTCTAAACTGATGACATCTGTAATGCTATACAGTGGTGCGCAGACTGGGGGGGAAGGTGATAGGTTGGTTTCTTCCACATACCTTTGTTTTCTAACTGGCAGCAGTGAGAAGTCAGAATAGGAGACATACCTTCCTCCTCAATCAATTATACAGAAAAAGTGAAATCTCCATTTCCCCCCACCCTCCCTTTTGAAGCAGTTCATGTAGTTCACTAAGCCACTGAAGTTAATGGTGTTGGTCCATTCTAAATCTTAAGGTTCACACCGTGTGTCTTCTATCCTTCTAACCAGCCAAAATTCACATTATACAAAACTGGATATATGTGCAGTTTATTTTGTGACTGAGGAACTGATCTGTTTGTTGTCTTTATGTTATACAGTCATGGAAATCCAAGCACTTAGATAAACTAAAATCATTAGCTCATGTGTTTTGAAAGTAACTTACCCTTCTTTCCGCCTTGCTTAAAATTTTTTTTTTTTTTTTTTTTTTTTAGCTTGAGTGCCAAAATTCTGCTTGCCTTGCTCCTGCAAGTTATTTCCCTGGGCCTTCTTCAATGGGGTAAAATCTAGCCCTGATCCTTTTAAGAAACCATTCTGAACTGAATAGGTAGGTTTCTCTGGTGCATTTTGAATAACGTTTCATATTTTGTATTGAATTCCTTTTTTTTTGTACATCAGTACATCAATAGAAAACTACATAATTTTATGATCTTTTGGTGTGACTTCAGCTGTTCAAATGTTCACATCCTGTGAAGGAAAGCAATCTAATATTCTTAATAGATTTTTTTTTTAATTGTAACAACTGCTTAAAAGCTTAAGGATAAAATGTCTCCCTTCCCATTTTGCACTTTGACTGTTGGGGAAACTTTTTTTTAAGTTTCCAGTGTGGCACTGGATTAATTGCTACCCAATGAGGTAGGTCCATGGAGCAAACTACATTTCCTGTGCTGTTCCATAGTCCTGGTGTGGCAAAGAACACTGAGGCCCCAGGGGTGCTGCAGGAGGAATCAGCAACTCGGGGTCATGAATTAATATTTTCATCCTTGTTTAAGCACTGTCATCACTGATTATGGCAGCATAGAGCTGAGAATAGTGCTTGCTACTTATCCAGTAGAGGGAGTACAAGATCATGTCTTTCCTTTGGATGCTACCTCCACAGGAGTTACTGTGTGTATATGTATTTTTAAATTCTCTGTAGTGGGAGGTTGGCTAGGAAACCCCCCCAAAAAAGGAATACTCTGAGTATTCACTAATGCATTGCAGCAGCTTCAAAACTACTGGACAAGTCTCTTTTTATATAATAATTTAGGTCAACGTACAGTATTTTAGTTTCCATTTTTACTAGAAAAGGAATCATTTGCCACCATCTCATCTGCCTTTTACAGTATACGGAAAAATACAGAGTTCAATACTGTACTAAGTAGTATACACATGTTAAATATTTAGCTAAAGGTGCAATTTCCAGCTCACTGATATGACATTTTATCATTGTTAGCATTAGCTGGACTGGTACACATTTCAAACAATTAAAACAGCCCTGTTCAAATAAAATTTTATATTTGTACCTTACTTTTCAGAATAGGACAATACTAAGTGGCATCTTGACCTCTGAATTTTGCTTCCCCTTTCTTGTGATGTGTACACCAACTTAGGTTCAGTAAAAATATGCAAACACAGCATATTTTATTGTCAATAACTGTCACACAGTATTTATTGGAACAACATTTTTACCAAAAAGGGGCTATTAACTGAATAGTATAAGGGAAAGAAAATCTGGTTTCTTTCAATCCAGACTACCCACTTGTATCCACCAGACTATAACAGTTCTAAATCACTCTGTACTGGTTTATGAAAATGGAACCAAGTATCCAAAGTGTTTTTTATTTGTTTCTTCTAGTGGGAAAAAAAAGTCATCCTGTATTATGCTAAGAGAGAAAATCATGCTCATGTTAGCCAGACAATAATGTCCCAATTGACTACATGCAAACTGTGTGGTGATGGATACCTTCCTCTGGTGACACGCCTTCCTTAGGTTTCCAGGATTTCGGTTAGCTCACAGTGAGTTGGGGTTAAAAGTAGAACAATCATAGAACACAAAATGGTTTCCTTAATAGTCTGCTGCCTGTGCAGCTCAGTGTTTCCAAAGATGTCTTTTTAAAAAAAAAAAAATCAGTTACAATGTAATTCTATGGTCTAGGGTGCATAGGGTGGAGGCTTTTCTTCTGGCAGGAAGTAAGTTGGTGTGTATAGTGGCGGGGCATTGGGTGGGAGACCATAGTTTGAGCTGGACTGAGATGGAGGCTGAGTATCATCCGATAAAGAAATATCAGTAGATGATGATGCTGGAAAATGGCTTGCAGGCTGTAATTAAACAAAGAAAAAATTCAATCTTCAGTAAGGGATTACAGACATGTTTGTAGATATACTGTGTTACATGTGTATGGTATGTACCATTAAACCTCTCAGGCATCTGTAAGGTGCACATCCCTGTGGTGGTGTTAACACACACACATTATCACTGTGACTGTGAGACCGTTGACACTTATCACTTAAGTTAGTCTTCATATAAGTTTTATGCCTGCATTTCACCCTCCATCAAGGCAACTTAATAAAACACTATTTTTGTGAGAGAGGATGCTCTAGTCCCCCTGGTAAGTCAGTATAGCTGAGTGGGCTTTAAGGGATCTGCAGCTGTTTATTTAAAATTCATATTGCTACCTGGAAACGATCCTAGGGCTGTAGGCATTTGAGATCGAGAGGGTAATAATAATATATATAAGTTAGTCAAAAGTTCAGAGCTCTGTGTATTGTTGCAGTTGTGAGGAGAAACGGGTGGTGGAGTCTGGTATCTTTGATGCACTCTTGTTTGTCTATAAACAATGTACAAAATTCTATTTCCATGAACAGAGGACCAACCAAACACCAGGACAGCATCCTTGTTCTCAATACCAAAACCTCTTTCAGCCAGCAACCTCCCCACCCCCAAAAAAGTGCTCTCTAGACTTTATCCAGGGTTGTGCTCCCAGCTCTGTCTGCATGTCGCTCTTGTGCTTCTTCACTCACCCCCCCGCCGCCCCACCATGGAATCCTCTGCCCACACAGTCCAAATTACTGGGCAGGCTCACATGCCCCTTGTGTCTTAGACAGCCAAACACCTCCACCTTACAGCTATTTTAAATGAGGGGTAGAAGTCATAAGAGTTTAAGTAAGGTTCAACCTGACCCACAATATCTTATTTCAGTATAGGATGCCTATTCTCTGATCCATTTTATGGCCCCTGTGTGTGTAACGTATTACTGACTGGACTGTAATTCTCCAGCTCCTTTAGACTTGGGCTGGAGTGAGGAAAGCAGCCCATCTTCAACAATGAATGCTTCACCCACTTTTTTAAAAACAAAATGGCACATTGACACTGTTTTAAATAGGAGTTTTGCCATTGATTTCATCCTTGACCCTCAGATGTTAATCACCTGCCATTCGAAGGGTATCAGCTGAAGTGTTGAGTGCTCAGCTCTGAAGTGCTCAGATTCAAAGACCCTGAAATTTTTCAATTAAAAAAAAAAAAGAAGCTATTTTCAAGATAAGGGAAATGCAAAATCTGACAAGTAAATGCCACTGTCCCAGCTACTTAACATTTTAAAAAGCATCCATAATTTTCTAGAATAGTGGTATACCGGTAACCATTGCACCTAGGTAAGTTTTTCCTTTGAGCAGCACCATGGATCTCAGATCTGGCATTCTACTCTCTACATGGGGGTGGGCAAACTATGGCCTGTGGGCTGGATCCGGCCCACGGGATTGCCCCCTTTGGTGCTGCAGGCCCCGTGCTGCTCTCAGAAGCAGCTGGCACCATGTCCCTCGGGCTGGGGGGGAGGGCTCTGTGTGTTGCCTTTGCCTGCAGGCACAGCTCCCAGTGGCCGGGAACAGGGAACCACGGCCAATGGGAGAGGTACCTGGAGGTGTGGAGCCCTGTGGCCCCAGGGGCTGTGCAGGGATGTGGTGCCGGCCACTTCCTGGAGAGGCGCTGCATCGGGCCAGGGCAGGCAGGCACGGAGCCTGCCCTGGCCCCAGGGTGTGCCGCTGCCACCCCGGAGCCACTTTTGGAAAGTGGCACCAGGCCGGAGCCCAAATCCCTCCTCCATCCTGCCCCCCAACTCTCTGCCCTAAGCCCCCTGCCTGTACCTCACAACCCTCCTGCACCCCTGCCACACCCAGCACCCCAACCCGCTTCCCTGAGCTCCCTCATACACCTCCTCTGTCCCCATCCCTTGCCCTGAACCAGTTTCTGCATCCCGTACACCAACCCCCTGCCCTGCATACAATTTCCCCATCCCGCTGTGGCCCTTGGCCCAAAAAGTTTGCCCGCCCCTGCTGTAGCATTAGCACAGGGGTGGGCAAACTTTTTGGCCTGAGGGCCCCATCAGGAGTTGAAAACTATTGAGGGCCAGATGTAGTGTATTAAACTGCTCCCCAGAAGAATGTGCTACTCATGGCTGCCAGTCCTTGTTCTCTGAGCACCATGGTAAGAGTCTGGATAAAGGGCGGGGGGGGGGGGTGTTGGATAGGTGTGGGAGTCCTAGGAAGCCTGTCAGGGTGGGGGGTGTGGATAGGGGTTGCGGCTGTCAGAGGACAGGGAGCGGGGGGGTTGGATGGGTGGAGATTTCTCAGGGGGCAGGAGCTGGCTGTTGGGAGACACAGCCTTCCCTACCCGAGTGTAGTGTATTAAATTGCCCTACACAGTGTACTACTTACAGCTGCCAGTCCTTGTGCTCCATAAGTAGCCCATGCTTACGGGGAGAAATTTAATACAGTACACCTGGCTGTTCACACTGCCCAGCAGGAGCGTACAGCCCCTCTGCCCAGAGCGCTGGCGGCATGGCAAGCTGAGGCTGCGGGGGAGAGGCCGGGAGCTCAAGGGCCGGGCAGGACAGTCCCATGGACCGGATATGGCCTGCGGGCTGTAGTTTGCCCACCTCTGCATTAGAGAGTAAACTGTGCTCTAAGCCTATTTTAGAAATAGCTCTAACACAGTAAATAAAAAAACTCTGGCTTATAGCTGTGTAAAATATAAACTTCCCCTCTCACCATTTTTTTTTTTTCTGGTCTCTGCTTGTGGACATGGAAATAAGAGGCAAAACAAGGAGCTTTTATTGACAGTTTAACAGTTTGTTTTCAAAAATAACATTCTACCTTTTTATAACAATATGATTCTCCTCTAGCTCTTCCACAGTTGAGATTAGTGCAGTGTGGACTCAGGTCTAGTCCCTGAATTTTTAGCTGTTACTTAACCAACCAGAGACAGGCACTTTTAATAATTTAACCCCATGTCAAAATCCCATTTTCCAGAGTTAGGAATTTAGGCCCAGATCCTCAAATGTATTTAGGCCTCTAGAAGTCAATGGGAGTTAGGTGCCTAAATACCTTTGAGGATCCCTTGTGAGTCTAGGTCTCATAGAGACTCACTGGGACTTACTTAAGCTCCCAAGGGCTAAGTCCACAAAGCACTCCACCTAGTGCTTAGGTGGCTTTGCATATACCTACCCATGGAAACTCTGTCTCTTTCGGCCTCTAACTCTGAGCACACGCACAGTCTGGCCCCACACAAAAGACAGGTGTGTGTGTCTTGACTTAGCGGTTAGGGCACTCAGCTGGGATGTGTGAGACCCAATTTCAGATCCCTGCTCTGCCTGAATGCGTGTCTCCCACATTAGTGCCCTAACCCCTGGGTGGCAGCATCACTGTTGGGCTCCAAACTCTGCAGCAGGTACTCCTGGAAAGTCTGGGGGGCTTCAAGGGTATCTGCACGAGCTGGGAGCCTTGGCCCTGTAGCAAGGAGCCTGGAAGCGTTGAGAATGCCAGCGGGCTCCATGGCTCTCTGGGCTACTAGACTCCTGCTGTGGAGCCAGCTTCCAACTCAGCTCTCTGAAGATCCCGTTCTGAGGTAGAAAACTCCCCTTTCATTGCATGGGAGCCTGGGCACCTCAAGTGGAGGTGGGGAGTTAGACACTGCAATGCTCAGCATTGCAACTTCCACATCCCTTTGTACATCTCGCCCTACGTCACTTTTGAAAATGGGACTGAGAACATGAGCAAAATTGTCAAAACTGCCTATACAAATAACTAACACGGCACCCTCAATTTGATTAGGTTTATATGTAAAAGGAGACCAGTAGGTGGTAACTGTCATTTTTGCTTTCTGGAAATGTGAGCTAAGCTTTGGGTTAGGACTAAAGATTTACTCAGTAGTGGAGGTGGGTAATGTCTAAGAATTTGGCCATTTCAGAACAGATTATTTATAAAATGTCCCAAAATGGAAATGATTATTAGAGAGCCTGCTCTGAACATCTTCACCAATCGTGAGTTTGCTCACATACATAAGCCTTTATACTAGTGCTGTAACTAATTCCCTCCACACAGCAATTTGATTATCTCATACATGGAGCAAGGCTGTTTTTTTCCAGAAGGATTAATAGCTTTCATCTGTGGAGGCTAAAGCTTGTATCTGATCTCTCCTGGTGTGCAGGTGGTTCCTGCCTCTGATTGTCATGAAAAGGCAAATGAACACACTTCCAAAAATATTTAACAATATAGGAAAAATATAAAGTAGGTTTTTTTTAAAACATTGAAGAATTTTGGATAAACTAGTGACATTTATTTTTGAAAGGTGAGGGGGCTTTTATGTGGCAGAACACTAAATACTTAATATGCATCTCTTCAGTTTAGTTATTTTCTTTGTCATATCTTTTAGTTGTTCCTCACACCAGCTCATACTCAGCTCATACTGATTTGAACTTAATGATAATCTTTAGAAAGTCATAGGTCCATTGCCAGCTGAAAATGAGCCCTGATTACTAGACTCTCTCTAGCACATTACAGTCTATAATACACACAAGAGTAATTGTGGTGAATTAAATGACCATATTCAGTTTTCAGAATCTGAAGTTCTAAGATTGTAGGGTATCATTTTCAGGCATGCAGGCTTTTATGTGGTGCTTATTACTTTACTTTCCTGGCCTTCATCATTGTAGTATCTGAGCACTTCACCAACATTAGTTAATTTTTATCTGCACAACACCCCTGCGAGGAACAGAGTTATTAATTATTTCCTTTCTACAGATGAGGAACCAAGGTACAGAAATTAAGTGATGTGCCTAAGGTCAGTGGCAGAGCTAGGAGCTGACTTCAGGGCCCCAAGACCAGTCCTGAGCTTTACCCACAAGATCTTCCTTTCCATCAGGCCTTTGCTGACTTTACACTGTACTGCTCTGCTGTTGCCCCATGCAGCAGTTAATCTATCATTTAAAGGAAGGGCTAGATCACCAGAGAAACACCAGCAGGGACAGCAAACTCAAGGGCATTTG